TAAATGACTTTATCGATAAATTTGTTTGCAATAAAATAATTTCAAATTCTCGCTTGCAAATAACTTTGCTTTATTTTTTATTTAAAAAAATCAATATAATAAAAAAGGGAATCAATATTAAAGATACACTGAAATTATATGCTGTCTTGTTTAGTTGTTTCATATACGCAAAGGCCGTCGGGTTTTAAAGCCATTATAAAATCAATATTTAAAACAAACTTACCTTCGTTAACGTTGGCTCCCTTCTTTTAGCCGATTCTTTCGCCTTTTCTTTCTTGAAATTTATAAAATCTTGCAGAAATACGAGCAAAAATGAAATATATTTGCAAGAAATTTATCAATCATCAAATCAAGAAATGTTTGCTATTTTGCTGTCGTCATGCAGTCGTTATAATGCAAACTTTAAATTGGACCAATCAGTGTCCGTTATTCATGACAGTCCGCCATATTTTTGAGATCAGTGAGGATGACCACCCATCGTTGGTGACCGACGCCCGCGCTCATTGATGAACTTTAGACTTCGCTAATGCTTTCGTTTCCCCGGGTGTAAATAGCCGGGGGAATTAGTACTCTCGCACGGCTCTTCGCGCCGTCGGCTCAGGGGTAAATTTAACGTTGTTCTACAGTCTGAACTCATGTGGTCAAAGTGAAATATACGGTTTAAATTTGCTATAAGAATAATAAAAGTGCGTCTTCATGTCCTCACATGCAAGGAAATTGATACTATGACGTCCAGGACTTTATCCCAAGCCAGGGCTACAATTCCACCTGAATTCCATGCATTGCGACAATATGCTACTTTCGTGCACTCCGCGGTCCCTAGACATTGTGTCACTAACATCTCGTTTCTTTTAAACTTCGCTAATTTCTTATATTTAAAGCATTGTATACTACACAGATAATTCCTGTTTTTAGAACTTACCTCCCCAATAATAAGTTGAATATCCTCCGAAGATGTACTTTCCAACCTTAACCAAAGTGATTGTTTTTCCTCGCTGATCGCACCTTTCATGAAATATTCGTGAATCCCAGCCATCCAAAGTAGCTCTCCAACAGCATGTCAGTTTATTGAATGAAAACCACCGTTTGAGCTGCTTCAGAAAACTTTCAGGTTCACCTTTCAGTATTGTGGAGGCCGAAATATCACCTAATGTTATAGGGAGAATTGGAGAAAGTTCTTAAAATCGTTTTACCCCCGTATTTTTAATATATTTCAACGGTATTTAGATCTTAAAAGAGATTAATATTAATTATGTTTTAGGTATAAATAAATTACTTATCCCTCTTGGCCCCACCCTTCGAGTTTTAACTAATTCGGAGTTGAATTTCAATATCTCCTAATGGATACAATGTATTGCCAATGTATACTAATCATATATTAGTACTTCTTAATATACAGTGTGTTATAGAGTTTATATATTTTATTGATATAATATATAGGATTCATAAATCACTGGGAAAAAAATGTGAAATCCTATACTATGAAGTTTGCAATTGCACCACTAAATCCATAGTATATCCATACTATTTCGATACTATATCCATAGTATGGAAATATACAATTATTATGGATAACCATACAATTTTCATGCTATGACCTTCTATGGATTTTCAAAAGTTTTTCCGGTGAATAGAGGATATTATACTGTGGCACAAAGATATGAATTAATCTTCACCACGACAAGATTAAACTCATATCTTAAAGCCACCATGTATACTGTTCTTTTTCTTATAATCATAGTCATATGCATATAAATGTGATTAGAAGCGAACTTTCTCTAAGCCTCATTTAAATGTAATAATTTTCTTTTTAGTAACGACCAGAAGGCTTTTTTTATAACAAATTTAATAAATTGTAACAACGTTTTGGAGCTTACTCCATCATCAGGTTACATGTATATAGTGCGTATAAATGTAACCTGCTGATGGAGTGATCGACATTTTCACTGACGAAGATATGGAAAATAGCTATTCAGAATATTTAGTTTGCTAAATAAACGCTCATTACTTGCAAGCTGGTATGTAGTAGTTAAATATGGGTAGTAGAGCTGTTTCCGAAATAGACAACTGCTGTTTATTGTAAAGTGTTATAGCACCGGTCCGCTCTTCTCATGACATTAATTAAGCCGGCATAAATCCAAAAGAGGATGATTATGCAACTATCATCACAATCAACTTACATCTTCCTTTAAACACAATGCACAACTTCGGCATATTTTTATTGCTGAAACAAGTAGCTATAACATCTCTACCAAACATCGTAGAGAACAGCGAGGGGTTGCATGCACATTGCATAACCCTTCTGATGATCCTTCATAACACAAATGACTGAATATTTTTCTGCTTTAAAATTTTCCGTAAGTGCGATTTGATAAATATTTGATAAATTTACATTGACCAGAAAACATAGCCATTTAATTAATCCTATACATGTGATTCTTTCATTCGTGTTCTGAACTTTTCACGCAGGCTTCCCCGCGTATATGAATTTGCTTTCAAATCTGTGGTAAAATATTATAATCAATCTTATCCAATCCGAGAATTAAAGCAATGAACAGAGAAGCATGCAATATAGACGACAGGTATTTTCTCTATACTTTATGTACTTAATCGCATATTTTAAATAATTTATTTTGTTATTACTTGATATATTATATAAAAAAATGGTTCACTTACGAGAATGAATGAGACGCATCTTGTTACCCAAAGTATGATTGAAACGGTCAAATTTACTTTCGAGTTCCGCAATATCTTTGTCCAGTATGCTTATTATCTAGAATTAGACAAATATTTTTTTGTATTAGCCCATAATTGGACCTAGGTTACAAGAAGATTTCATATTTGACTTAAGTTCCAAGAAGATTTCACATTATACCCTTTTTGATACAGTGAAATTTTCTAAATTTCCATGTTCCTTCAGATAGGTATATATAGTATTAACGCGATTTCGATTATAGATTATATAGAGAATGCATAATTGCCAGAAATGAACAGAGTTGTTTGATAATATTTTCACACAAGTGTTTTGCTAATTCCGTTTAAAAGTAAAATCTACCATCATTACTATACACCATGACCATACAAAAATTCAACGAATATGCATGTTAATATTATTCAGCAATTAATATAAATATCGGCTTTATTTATCCTCACCAACCTTCTTTTCTTCAGCCAACGCATTCAATTTTTTATCTCCTTGCACATAAAGTTTATTGTTGTCCTTCCGGTATATCATCATTCCTTCAACACTTGGAACTTTCTTTGCTGTGGCATTGTCTGGTACAACTAACATCTGTATAATGGGTCATGCACACAACCATCAATTAATGCCTAAACATTTGTTTGGTGTTGACAATGGTATGCATGCATGATACCGCGAATATTTAAAATTTCATGATCGAGAAGCTCAATAACTATGCACGAAAATCAAAAATGGAAAAGTGCATGTACAAAATTTTAAAGTATATCTTAATTATCGCAGCAAATAGCAAAAAACTGTCTGTGGTAAATCTTGAGTATTCTGCGATATTTTTTTATAATTATATCATATAGGAAAATAATTAAGCCAATCTTAAAGGATTAGTGTCAGGGTCATGCATTGCGGGCTTTTGTTATTGTTTACATTTTACTCAAATACAACAAATAGCGATAAAAATACCTTGTTTGGCCCATTTCTGATACAAATCAGACAAAAAGAGCAAGGATTATGAAAGGATGGTTTAAATATATGACGGATTGTAAAAACTTTCCAGATCATCTAATCTATTCGTCCCGAAAAATGGCCGCCAGCAGGAGTTTGAGCCTGCGAATTCCTGGTGTGACACTAATCCTTTCAACATGTACAGAGTTTAAAATTAACTTACCCCTTCGTAGAAAAGAGGCTTATCTTTAGCACAGCGACCCTGGTAAGTGAAAAAATATTGTATAAAAATTTATATTCTATGATTTCGTAAAACTCGATCCTATATAATTTTGCATGAAGTTATGTTCCTGTACGAACTATTAAAATTTCTTACAATAATATAGGTTCAATTTACCTAACTTATGCAATATAGTTTTTCATTTAAATATTATTATAGATAATTTCTGCCTCTATATACCATGCACCAACCTTCAATGGCAATTCATTGTCACCAACTAGTTTGTACCACACTGCAGCGCCATTTTCGGTCACTTTATAATCCATACATTTGCTCCACAGTCTCCTGGGGATAGAAGATCGAACCCAGAACCATGTGTACATGTTTTTTCTAATTGTTCCTCCATTTTGTGAGTCACATTCCTTGAAACAATAGTTTTTCTTACCATTCTTTGGACCATAACAACCACAACACTTAATGTAAGATTAATGTAAAAAGCAGGTTTAGATAAAACTGGCGATAATAATTTCCAGTTTAAAATTAATTATATAAGTATACATGCTGCATGGCACTGCAACTTTTAAATTAGTATATATATAAGAGTATAGTACTAGTAGAATAGAATAAAAGTTATTCCGATCCGAGTAAGGAGTGCACAATAATAACACACAATTTATAAAAACTGTACACTTTTGATTTATCTTCAAATCTGATTCCTCTTCTCAACTCACAAGTGTTTTGCAAGTTATGTCGTTATTATACAACTACAAGCGTAAGCAACTATTAAACAAGCTATAGCGTGCCGAAAAGTACGAACAGTAGCTATATATAAATTATTAAAGAAGGATGCAATAATGATAAATATACAGGGTGTATCAAAAAAAACTGAACAGATTTGAAATTGCTCTCAATTTCGCAAAACACCTATTTGTATCTGTTTTTATATATATATAGCTTCTTTGGGTACTTATAATGTAAAATAATAAAAAAAATTTCTCGAACTCAAATTTTGTGAACCAGGGGGGTGTGTCTTTTCCAACAAATTAAAAATGGCTCGCGCACAAAATTTAAAAGCTGTAATAATATTTTGAGTTGATAGATTGAAAATTTGTCGGGTTTTTAATTACTGTACAAAATTTCAGACAATTTGGTTTAGTTTAAGTCCTTTAACTATTCATTTTATTCTAAAAAGTCAGCCTTTCGCATGCTTAATTAATGCCTTTACCTAATTTGCATATTGCTGACATATGCAAATTAGGCAAATGCATTAATTAAGCATGCAAATAGCTGATTTTTCGGGAAAATTGTAACTTTGCGTGAATAGTTAAGGGGCTTAAACTAACCAAATTGTCTAAAATTTTGTACAGTAATTAAAATCCCGACAAATTTTCCATCTGTTAACTCAAAATATGATTGCAGCTTTTAAATTTTGTGCGCGAGCCATTTTTAATTTGTTGGAAAAGACACACACCCCTGGTTCACAAAATTTGAGTTCGAGAAATTTTTTTCATTATTTTACATTATAAGTACCCAAAGAAGCTATATATATAAAAAACCAGATACAAATAGCTGTTTTGCGAAATTGAGAGCAATTTTAAATCTGTTCAGTTTTTTTTGATACACCCTGTATATAGGTAATCGGGTGTGCGGGTTGTGATAAGGCGGATTAAATGACTTAGATGTATATATTCTCACTTGGATTACAAACCCTAACATCCTAATATTAATTCCACCAAGTGAAGTGCAAGAATCTAAGTCATTTATATAGCAACAGAACTGAGTTCTGTAACCAAATTAGAAATTGTCACTACTTTTATTCTTCAACAAGATAACTTTAAGATGGCAAATAACTAAATCAGTTTTACGAAATAGAACGTCATCTTCCCAACAAAACCCAAGCTATAAAGTAGATACCTTGCTGGCAGTGGTTTCTAGCTCAGAAACCACTGCCAGCAGGGTATAAAGTAGACTAGGTTGTGGAAAAATAACTCTGTTTGAAAGCTTCGAGTGGAGGAAGGAGAGCAGAATTGATATTTCAAGTACTAAACAAAGTAACCGGCGGTGATTCTTACGTGGCACCTGGCGGCTTATTTTTAAAGCCCTGCTTCGAATGCGCTAACAAATATTGTTTAATTTTATTATATGTTTCAGTTATATGTACTGGACTGATTGGGGTAAATTTCCAAGAATCGAACGTGCGTACATGAACGGCGAAAACAGAATGGATTTGGTGAACCACACGCTTCGTTGGCCCAAT